ATATATATATATATATATTGCCTTTGAGTAATGAGACACCGCAAGCAATTTTGAAGCACACGTTATAATGAGCCACCATTGTGCACTGTGGTTGAAACATGTGCAGGGAGCAAATACGACCGGATTATAGAACTCATCAAACGCCATAAAGCTAGCAAACCTGATGATAACTGATAAAGGAATATGATAACTCTCATCGTGAATATCATGATATCCACGAACATCAGAACTGAGAGGAGAAAAACTACCAGACAGGTTCTCAGAAATGTTTACAAGTCAATAAATTTATTCCTGTTCAAAAGAGGGAACTCAGAATGCATCTATGCTTTTACCATAGATATATGAACAGGAAAGGCATTAGAGATAATACAGGAACTCCAGGGAGCAGAGAGAGAGAGAGAGAGAGAGAGAGAGAGAGAGAGAGAGAGAGAGAGAGAGAGAGAGAGAGAGAGAGAGAGAGAGAGAGAGAGAGAGAGAGAGAAAGAGAGAGAGAGAGAGACAGGAGGACCAGGAATAAGTCCCTTAATATGAGAAGCCGATATCAAATACGAAAATAACATAGCCAAGCAAGACCAGAACCAACCCAAGCTGCTCCACCGCCACACACAGAGGTGTCAACGATAATAAAGGAACAGAGGGGGGGGATAATAAATCAACAGATAACGGAACACAACATTAATCGTCAATTACTGTCACTTAAGTCTGTCATGTTCTCCAGCTCCGAACATGTGCACGAAAATGAGCTCGTGACCTTACCATTTTCACCCACTACAGCCTTGACCTTCCGTAAGTTTCGTTCAAAACTAAAATAACTTTTTGTAAGCGAACATTAACAAAGGAGTTAATAGTCTAGTGTACTTTCATGGCCGAAGGTGTTGCCTTTCACAACTAATTAAAAATCAAACCCTAGAATATATTATTTGAACACGATTCGACAAGCAATTTACAACCAGGTTCACCGTCGGTTGTAGAAACGCGACTGGAAGGTAAATTATTTAACATTTATAATGTTTGTAGCTAGAATTTAGATCACAACTAATTGCTTGTATGCTGAATCTGTTAGCCACAACTTAATAGATCTAACAGTGAAGTTGTTTGCTCCCTCAGAGTACATGTAAAGCAAGCAAGCAAGCAAGCAATTGCAGGCGATGAGTCACAATAACGTGGCTGAAGTGACCAGACCACACACTAGAAGGTGAAGGGACGACGACGACGACGTTTCGGTCCGTCCTGGACCATTCTCAAACAATTGATAATTCAGAATACTCACCGAATATTCCACGAACAAAAAAACCAGTATATCCATAAACCAGAAATAAAAAAAACAAGGTTATTTTCTGGTGATTTACACCCAATCTACGAGTAATTTACAGAGCGACAAGAATGTAAATGATCAGAGCCAGATTTACCACAGCGAAGCGAGCGCCATTGAAGCTCCGTTCAAACTACATGAAAAAACCCAATATATCTCTATTAATTCAAAAAAAGGAATACGCTGTAGCAGTTAATACTGGCCGCGGGGCGCCACGTGAACCCTTCTTCCTCAAAACTCTTTTTCATGTACATGTTTTTTTTTTTTACATTTTTATCATTGAAGAATATAGTTTATTGCTGAATCGAACACGGTGATGCCTTGATGTACAGAGGGATAATGACACACGCGCCGCAGTCTGAAATATGCATGCGGCTACTGTGGATACTGGTGCCGCAGTCTGAAATATGCATGCGGCTACTGTGGATATTGGTGCCGCAGTCTGAAATATGCATGCGGCTACTGTGGATATTGGTGCCGCAGTCTGAAATATGCATGCGGCTACTGTGGATATTGGTGCCGCAGTCTGAAATATGCATGCGGCTACTGTGGATATTGGTGCCGCAGTCTGAAATATGCATGCGGCTACTGTGGATACTGGTGCCGCAGTCTGAAATATGCATGCGGCTACTGTGGATACTGGTGCCGCAGTCTGCACTATGCCTGCGGCTACTGTGGATACTGGTGCCGCAGCCTGCACTATGCCTGCGGCCACTGTTGCCGCATGTTGAAATTCCTTGCCTAATTTTTACTTACGAAATGAACAATGAAATCAACTTAACATCCTTTATATATCTAATATTTTCAACTGCCAGCCAGCCCGGCCTTCTCAAGTTGTCACAACGTCGCAAAAATGGTGTACTATATTGCTCGAACCTAACCTAACCTGACCGAGGATCCACAAATAGAAAACGGAACAGCCCGTCAATTTTGCGAGCCGCTATGATTTAAAGTACATCATATTTTGACCGTTTCTGATGTGTACGTCAAAATGTGATGTATACTTCGAGAGTATATGTATAGTTGATGTATAGTTAGGGTGGCAGGTGTTGTGTAAACTGGTAGTTCAGTCTTTTGTGGTAACTGGTAGTTCAGTCTTTTGTGTAACCTGGTAGTTCAGTCTTAATCTCTTTGATGGGAGGATGCAATCTCATTGATGAAATGATGTACATAAGAGTTATTTTGCTCTCGATTGATGAGTGAGTTTGATAGTTGCTGCTTCATTTATAATTTCTTTCTTTATTGTGCACCCCATACCCATCCCCTGGGGTGTAAAGGATTACAGAGGCACATAATCGGTTCAGGAACTGAACCCTCTAGTTCGTTTAGCTAAGCAAATAACAATCTTTTGACGCTAGTTAGGCAATTATTAATGTTATATATATACATGTACACATACTCATGCATACGTGTACATATATGCTTCAGATTTGTGTAATCTTCGTGGGGGGAGGGGGGAGGCAAAGTTTGGAAATGAGAAATATAGTGGGAGTTATGATAGCGGGCGGGCTGTTCGCCTTGCTGACACGATGAATATGTTTTAGGCTATGTTATCGTCTGCTATCGTTGTATTTGTGTACTACTTTAGTGTTGCTGGTCAGGATATCAGTTAAAGGGGCCAGATTCACGAAGCAGTTACGCCAGTACTTATACGAAGCTGTACATCTTTCCTCAATCTTTGACGGCTTTGGTTACATTTATTAAACAGTTTACAAGCATGAAAACTTGCCAATCAACTGTTGTTATTGTTATAAACAGCCTCCTGGTGCTTCGGAGCTCATTATAACTGTTTAATAATTGTAAACAAAGCCGCCAAAGATTGAGAAAAAGATGGACAGGTTCGTAAGTGCTTGCGTAACTGCTTCGTGAATCTGTCCCCTGGTCTATATATACTGACAACATTGGGGCTCACGGTCCCCAAGTGGACATGTCAGGCATAGTTAGCATACATCTGCAAAGTCTTTCATGAGCATGTTAAGTCTTTTGTTACTCTTGTAGTATATGATGAGCTATTATCTCGAAAATGCTACTTAAAAACCTGTGTTTTTAATGCTACTTATCTCGAAAATGCTACTTAAAAACTTGTGTTTTTAATGCTACTTATCTCGAAAATGCTACTTAAAAACCTGTGTTTTTAATGCTACTTATCTCGAGAATGCTACTTAAAAACCTGTGTTTTTAATGCTACTTATCTCGAAAATGCTACTTAAAAACCTGTGTTTTTAATGCTACTTATCTCGAAAATGCTACTTAAAAACCTGTGTTTTTAATGCTACTTATCTCGAAAATGCTACTTAAAAACTTGTGTTTTTAATGCTACTTATCTCGAAAATGCTACTTAAAAACCTGTGTTTTTAATGCTACTTATCTCGAAAATGCTACTTAAAAACCTGTGTTTTTAATGCTACTTATCTCGAAAATGCTACTTAAAAACCTGTGTTTTTAATGCTACTTATCTCAAAAATGCTACTTAAAAACCTGTGTTTTTAATGCTACTTATCTCGAAAATGCTACTTAAAAACCTGTGTTTTTAATGCTACTTATCTCGAAAATGCTACTTAAAAACCTGTGTTTTTAATGCTACTTATCTCGAAAATGCTACTTAAAAACCTGTGTTTTTAATGCTACTTATCTCGAAAATGTTACTTTAAAACCTGTGTTTTTAATGCTACTTATCTCGAAAATGCTACTTAAAAACCTGTGTCTTACAATCCAATACGGATCATTTACCTTCCTCTTTCCCAGTTATCATGTTTACAATCCTCCAATCACCAGCACAAGCCCAGCTAATCACGTGGTCACCCACGATCACCCATCCAGTTACTACACACACCAAACTGCGCTTAACCGAACTGTGAGGAGCCGGTAGGCCGAGCGGACAGCACGCTGGACTTGTGATCCTGTGGTCCTGGGTTCGATCCCAGGCGCCGGCGAGAAACAATGGGCAGAGTTTCTTTCACCCTATGCCCCTGTTACCAAAAGTGTAAAATAGGTACCTGGGAGTTAGTCAGCTGTCACGGGCTGCTTCCTGGGGGTGGAGGCCTGGTCGAGGACCGGGCCGCGGGGACACTAAGCCCCGAAATCATCTCAAGATAACCTCAAGAAGGGAGAGACACACGAAGTTCACGATCATGTTATTGTTTACAAAGATATTTCATGACAACGTCTGGTTAAGAAGGAGAGAGAAAATTATCGAAGGTGTATTGGACCACGCGAAGCAGTTCTTATTTATAACCCGTTCTTAGGGTACGTTCATTCCATGCAGCAGCCGACCCCAATGACGCATTCGGCAATTTTAACATGCTGTTCATCCACAATAGGAATTTCCTCAGATATTAGTTACTACTTTATATTAGCATATTGGGCATATTAAGGTGTGGGTTTGGTTAGGTGTTCAGGTTCTGTTGGCGATTATTTGTATGTATACAGCTGTATGTATAGCTGTGTACAGATGTATACAGATGTATACAGCTGTATGTATACACCTAACACTTGTATACATACAGCTGTTTGGCTGTGAGTATACAGGTGTTAGGCTGTATGTATACAGCTTAACAGCTGTATACATACAGCTGTTTGGCTGTGAGTATACAGCTGATACATCAGTACATGGCTGAAGCATTTACAAGGTTACGTTATGAACAAGGTTTATCAACGAAGAACAAATAACAAAGAACGAAGAACGAGAATGTTCGAGCGTCATCAGTCATCACCTACACCACTCAGCGTCATCAGTCATCACCTACACCACTCAGCGTCATCAGTCATCACCTACACCACTCAGCGTCATCAGTCATCACCTACACCACTCAGCGTCATCAGTCATCACCTACACCACTCAGCGTCATCAGTCATCACCTACACCACTCAGCGTCATCAGTCATCACCTACACCACTCAGCGTCATCAGTCATCACCTACACCACTCAGCGTCATCAGTCATCACCTACACCACTCAGCGTCATCAGTCATCACCTACACCACTCAGCGTCATCAGTCATCACCTACACCACTCAGCGTCATCAGTCATCACCTACACCACTCAGCGTCATCAGTCATCACCTACACCACTCAGCGTCATCAGTCATCACCTACACCACTCAGCGTCATCAGTCATCACCTACACCACTCAGCGTCATCAGTCATCACCTACACCACTCAGCGTCATCAGTCATCACCTACACCACTCAGCGTCATCAGTCATCACCTACACCACTCAGCGTCATCAGTCATCACCTACACCACTCAGCGTCATCAGTCATCACCTACACCACTCAGCGTCATCAGTCATCACCTACACCACTCAGCGTCATCAGTCATCACCTACACCACTCAGCGTCATCAGTCATCACCTACACCACTCAGCGTCATCAGTCATCACCTACACCACTCAGCGTCATCAGTCATCACCTACACCACTCAGCGTCATCAGTCATCACCTACACCACTCAGCGTCATCAGTCATCACCTACACCACTCAGCGTCATCAGTCATCACCTACACCACTCAGCCATCGACGTGAAAACGTACAACGTGTTCATCGCAGCGAACTCTGTCCTGCTTGATGGGGTTCTGGGAGTTCTTCTACTCTCCCAGCCCGGCCCGAGGCCAGGCTTGACTTGTGAGAGTTTGGTCCACCAGGCTGTTGCTTGGAGCGGCCCGCAGGCCCACATATACCTGGTTGATGGGGTTCTGGGAGTTCTTCTACTCCCCAAGCCCGGCCCGAGGCCAGGCTTGACTTGTGAGAGTTTGGTCCACCAGGCTGTTGCTTGGAGCGGCCCGCAGGCCCACATATACCTGGTTGATGGGGTTCTGGGAGTTCTTCTACTCCCCAAGCCCGGCCCGAGGCCAGGCTTGACTTGTGAGAGTTTGGTCCACCAGACTGTTGCTTGGAGCGGCCCGCAGGCCCACATATACCTGGTTGATGGGGTTCTGGGAGTTCTTCTACTCCCCAAGCCCGGCCCGAGGCCAGGCTTGACTTGTGAGAGTTTGGTCCACCAGGCTGTTGCTTGGAGCGGCCCACATACCCACCACAACACTAATTAAGACCTACACATTCCTCATCTCTGCCCCGCGCTTTAGTGAATATACTACATCACGCTGAATAGCGGCAGTGATTAGGAGCAATCTGCATTAGTTATTAGCGTATTGTAACGAGGCAGTGCCAAGGGGCCCGACGATACTCAAGACGATGGGATCGTTACACTGATATATAAAGATGTATATAGATTCAGGCTACCTGTCTCATTGGTCGCTGGATAGTGAATAGTTAATGAGGAGGGTGTTAATAATCACTACTGACATCATGACGGATAGGAGGGTGATGGATGGATGGGATTAAATGGATGGATGGATAGGATTAAATGGATGGATGCATAGGATTAAATGGATGGATGGATAGAATTAAATGGATGGATGCATAGGATTAAATGGATGGATGGATAGGATTAAATGGATGGATGCATAGGATTAAATGGATGGATGCATAGGATTAAATGGATGGATGCATAGGATTAAATGGATGGATGCATAGGATTAAATGGATGGATGCATAGGATTAAATGGATGGATGCATAGGATTAAATGGATGGATGCATAGGATTAAATGGATGGATGGATGGGATTAAATGGATGGATGGATGGGATTAAATGGGTGAATAGTATGGATGGATGGATGGGATTAAATGGGTGAATAGTATGGATGAATGAATGGATGAGTAAATGGATAGTAGTAATAAAGGATAGAATGGATGGTCGCATGGGTCGGGGAGCCGGTCGGCCGAGCGGACAGCATACTGGACTTGTGATCCTGTGGTCCTGGGTTCGATCCCAGGCGCCGGCGAGAAACAATGGGCAGAGTTTTTTTTCACCCTATGCCCCTGTTACCTAGCAGTAAAATAGGTACCTGGGTGTTAGTCAGCTGTCACGGGCTGCTTCCTGGGGGTGGAGGCCTAGTCGAGGACCGGGCCGCGGGGACACTAAAGCCCCGAAATCATCTCAAGATAACCTCAAGATGGGAAGTTTACACTCAAGTTTGCCTAAGTATATTGATAATAAAAGTAGTACTCATTACATATATACATATCCATATTCAATTTAGGGTTAGTTATTTTGAGATGATTTCGGGGCTTTAGTGTCCCCGCGGCCCGATCCTCGACCAGGCCTCCACCCCCAGGAAGCAGCCCGTGACAGCTGACTAACACCCAGGTACCTATTTACTGCTAAATAACAGGGGCATAGGGTGAAAGAAACTCTTTCCATCGTTTCTCACCGGCGCCCGGGATCGAACCCGGGACCACAGGATCACGTGTCCAGTGTTCTGTCCGCTCAGCCACCGGCTCCCTGGGTTTGATAAAGAGACCTTCAGTATAAGGTGTGGGACGCTATATTAGGAACTTTGTCTAGTGAAAGAGAGAGAGAGAGAGAGAGAGAGAGAGAGAGAGAGAGAGAGAGAGAGAGAGAGAGAGAGAGAGAGAGAGAGAGAGAGAGAGAGAGAGAGAGAGACTCCTCAACCATACCACCCGCAGCACTGATTATAAATATCAAAGCTACGAATCAAGAAATATATATACTGATTAGAATTCTAACACATTATACCATCATAAAAGCTATACAATCCCGCATGTTTGAGTGCTCAACAACCCCAACCACACTATATGTAGCACAACAGCCCTTACCTCTAACTACGGGCTCACCATAGCCCGTGCTGCTTGGGAACTTTTTGTTCCAGGTAGCGAATCTTAAACACCAGCCCTGAGCTCTACACGGAGGACTGAAGAACACACACACTAATCAGCTCTATAGCACCTCTATAGTAGCTCTCTATAGCTCTTGAACCCTCTACAACCAACCACAACCGCGTCTACATGCTTCACAACTCACAACTCCACACAACATCAAAATCCACTTAGACATTCAAGCACAAAAATGACACGTCAATAACTTGGGAATTGTCTTGGGGCGCCTTGAAGACTGACCAGGAATTCATGGTCGTATTAATGACCCAGAATGATGATTTACATCGCCGCCTCGACACACCTCACCGGGTAAAGGATGAGGACCTCCCAGCTGGAATTGTGAGTGATTCATCACAAGTCATCAGTTGTGGGGTTAATTAAGATGTATGTAGGGGGAAGACCTGGGGGTCCAACGTGGGATTAGACATGAGTTATGCGACGGAAGAGTAGAGGGGGTGATTAGGAGGCGGTTTTGAGTGATTGGGAGGCTGCTTTGGGTGATTGGGAGGCTGTTTTTGGGGATTGGGAGGCTGTTTTGGGGATTGGGAGGCTGTTTGGGTGATAGGGAGGCTGTGTTGGGGGATTGGGAGGCTGTTTGGGGTGATTGGGAGGCTGTTTTGTGTGATTGGAAGGGCTAAACACATAAAGGTACTTATGTTTATTTTTGTTAATCCTAATAGTTGGGTTAATCACTCATTTACCAGCAACATGACAGCCTGCCAGCCTGCCAGCCAGCCTGCCAGCCTGCCAGCCAGCCTGCCAGCCAGCCTGCCTGCCTGCCTGTCAGCCTGCCAGCCAGCCTGCCTGCCTGCCTGTCAGCCTGCCTGCCTGCCTGCCTGCCAGCCTGTCAGCCTGCCTGCCTGCCAGCCTGCCAGCCTGCCAGCCTGCCAGCCTGCCTGCAAGCCTGCCAGCCAGCCAGCCAGCCTGCCAGCCTGCCAGCCAGCCTGCCAGCCTGCCAGCCTGCCAGCCTGCCAGCCAGCCTGCCTGCCTGCCTGCCTGTCAGCCTGCCAGCCAGCCTGCCTGTCTGCCTGTCAGCCTGCCTGCCTGCCTGCCTGCCAGCCTGTCAGCCTGCCTGCCTGCCAGCCTGCCAGCCTGCCAGCCTGCCAGCCTGCCTGCAAGCCTGCCAGCCAGCCAGCCAGCCTGCCAGCCTGCCAGCCAGCCTGCCAGCCTGCCAGCCTGCCTGCCAGCCTGCCAGGCCCTCCCTTGCCAGCTTGTCCGTACCAGTCACCTTGACAACAGTAAATTCTCCTCAAAATTAACCATTATTTATTTAGCCTCAAATTGATGGTTCGATTCCGAAGAACCTCAGAGTACACGCACTCTCACACGCGTGCACGCACTCACGCACGCGTGCACGCACTCACGCACGTACCACCACACTCATATTACAGGAACTCTTGTGAATGCTTATTCACGAGCACAAGGAGCCACATACACAGCCCCGCTCCTGTGCCAGGTAAGTCCACTACGGGCTCACCATAGCCCGTGCTACTTGCCCCGCTCCTGTGCCAGGTAAGTCCACTACGGGCTCACCATAGCCCGTGCTACTTGCCCCGCTCCTGTGCCAGGTAAGTCCACTACGGGCTCACCATAGCCCGTGCTACTTGCCCCGCAAAGACTTTTTTATACTATACGTTTCAGACTTTTATAAGCTTATAATACTAATACTTGTATACTTTTTATAATTGTATATAATTTTATACTAATACTTTTATACCTGTTATCATTTTATATAAATACTTTTATACTTTTGATACGTTATCATAAAAAAAATACTTTTATATTTCATTCGATCATTTTTGCAGCTTCTCTCATAACTAATTCTTATCAGCTTATCTAAGGGCCTATTTACTTTTTATTTGCATAAACATCAGTTTCCTTCAAAAATCTCCCCCAGAGTGCCATTTATAAATGATCGATCATACGTGGTCACATGATATCAAGCTATCTAATTGAATTAGCTGCTGGGACAGAGCAACATTTGATATCTTGAAGCGTCTATCACTAGTGATTTTTTTTTTGGGGGGGGGAGGTTGAATTCTCTTGCAAATTGAATCATTTTTTTTATTTCTAAATCTCATGGAAAGTACTTTTTTTGAAAGCTGTCTATATATAGGATAATATATATATATATATATATATATATATATATATATATATATATATATATATATATATATATATATATATATATATATATTATCCTATATATATATGAAATGTCACCATCTTCTCCGTCTTTAAACTTTCTGAAAGCTGATTAGGCAAATCTTATATAAATTTTTTTTTTTTTTAATACAATCCTCCTTTGATTAGTCTAATCTCATAGCTTATCTCATCCCACTAATATATTCGTTATATGAATTAATATATTCGTTATATGATATAATCTATTCGCTACATGATATAACCTGAGTGAAAATTGTGCAATCTTGCTAAGCCCGTCACTGAGATAACAACCGAACCACCCGATAACTAGTCAAGAAACATCAATTATATTCATCTGGTTACGTAAATTGGAATTAGAAACTCTTGACCTATTATACAGTTTAGTGAATCTTGCCAGCCCCACCCCCCCTCTCCCCATCAATCATCAACCCCCCCTCTCCATCAATCATCAACCCCCCCCCCTCCCCACCTCCTTACCTATCATTCACTGTCTTATCTCCTTAATACCCTCATCAACAGCATTAATCATTAGCATCTCCCCTGTGTTCAACTATGTTCAAGTTCAACTATGTTCAACTATCAACTATGTTCACGAAACATGCCCTTGAGGGCCCGTAGCTCCGCGATTGGACTGAAGGCGTCCCCTGACGTCGTCTGGC